ATAGTTGTGGCTGCTTTCCGCATAGAGAGACGTGCTGCGGTGTAGTGGCTCGCGAGAGTGCTGATTTTGGACTCGCGATGGCAGGTTCGCTCGCACGAGCGGCATACAAGGACCTGCTCGCTATAGACGACTCTCGGGGTAGTATGCAACTAGCGTAGATTCCGATACTCTAGTATAATAAGATCCGGGTTATCGCTAAAAACTCCCATGTGTTCCTGTTGAACAGGCAGTCATCATGGGAGAAAGCACCCGAGCGTGATGATTCACGGGGGCGGCAATAGTGACGCCTTGAGTTGCGCGAAGTCAGCTTGAGTGATGTCCCCATTCAACAGGAGAGTTCCTAGGGTTGCTATCTGTGCTGCTACGCTGTTTGCTGCGGGTGCTGCGGCTGCATTTGCTGCGGTTGCTGCGGCTGCATTTGCTGCGGTTTCATTTGCTGCGGTTGCATGTGCTGCAGCTGATAGCATCAGTGCAGCTGGAGCTGGTGCTGGTGCTGCCAGTGCAAAAAGAGCCTGAAGAGCCTGAGGTGTTTGTGGAGGTGCAAACATGGTCGGATTCTGGCCTTGCGATTGATTCTGGCCTTGCGATTGAGCTGGAGGAGGTCCGCGAGTAGTATCCATGTAATGCTGGGCATGTGCTGCAGCTGCTAGCCACCTCAGCCATACTTCTGCAACATAATGAGGAAAGTAATTTTCCTTTTTTTTTTTTTTTAAATATGGAACAAGGGGGCCGGACTGGAGACCACGTCTTCCATGAGACCTGTTGCCTCCTCCCTGTCCGGCCAAATATACAGTAACCAACAATCAGACAGCCACCGCCCTCGACGCTGGATCTTTGAAGGGGGCCACCCGATGCATGTGTTCCTGTTGAACAGGCAGTCATCATGGGAGAAAGCACCCGAGCGTGATGATTCACGGGGGCGGCAATAGTGACGCCTTGAGTTGCGCGAAGTCAGCTTGAGTGATGTCCCCATTCAACAGGAGAGTTCCTAGGGTTGCTATCTGTGCTGCTACGCTGTTTGCTGCGGGTACTGCGGCTGCATTTGCTGCGGTTGCTGCGGCTGCATTTGCTGCGGTTTCATGGGCAGGTTGCGATTGAGCTGGAGGAGGTCCGCGAGTAGTATCCATGGCATAGACGGCTCTCATTTTACCTATAAGTCAGAAATCTAATATGTATAAGATAATAAAACATGCATTCTTCTGATTTCAACATTGTTCTTAATTCCTCTAATATTTTATGGCCTGTTGTTGTCCAGTCTGGAAAGCAGCGCCGAGTGGAGTGGTTCTCCAAGCTATGCCAGTTGACGATGGCAAATTCCCGGGACTCTTTCACCTGCACGAGCAGATGCGTTTTGTGGGGACTGTCAAATATGAGCCCTTCTTCATCTACCAGTACGAACAAGATTACGCATGCGCCCAAGACCCGAAACTGATGGATATCGCCCTGTGCGCATCGCAAGCGCCGGCCGTGCGCATTACACGCAGAAGCATTTTTATTGAACCAGCCATCCATGACCTGGAGTGTCAGCTTAGTGGAGTCCCCTGCGTACGAATTAATGCAATTCGTGTTGAGTTGTACGCAGCGTCCCATGCCTCCGAAACCTATTTTTAGGTCCTCCGCCTCCTGGTGCACGCATGAAAACTCGTCCTTCAGGTCTTTTATGAAGTCAGCAGGTAAAGCTGGAGCGATTGCGCTGCTTTGGCCAGTAGTCGCACCTGCGTCGAATTGTCTTAATTTGTTTGCTGCGGCTAAACCGTCAGCCGAAATCATCTTAATAGCAGACTCAATTAGTGCCGGAGAACAAAAAGAGTCTTCTATTGGGATGAGTTCTTCTGGCGGTCTTGGTTGATCATCCATGTCATCCACATCGTCGACGAAATCCAAGCTACCATCCACGCTAAACTTGTCAAATGAATCCCCATGCTCGACAATTGCGCCCGCATCCGCGTACCCTGCTTCTGCTGGTGCATCATCATCTGCTGCTGCTGCTGTTGCTGCAGCCGCTGCTGCTGCTGCTGCTGCTGCTGCTGCTGCTGCTCCGTGTGCATCTGCTCCGGGTGCATCTGCTCCGGGTGCATCTGCTCCGGGTGCACGTCCTTCGGGTTCATCATCTGCTGCGGGTTCATCATCTGCTGCGGGTTCATCATCTGCTGCGGGTTCATCATCTGCTGCGGGCGCATCTGCTGCGGGTGCATCGGCTGCATCGGCTGATGCTAGAAAGCTTTCCCAGTCACGCGGACCGTAGGTCTGAACTAGCAGCGTTTCCAGTCGACTCCACATGCCGCCATCGTCGTTTGCCTGCGAGGCACGAAGAATTGGAAGAAAAGTTCGTAGAGGTGCATCTTTGAGCTCCGCAGCCCAGTCGGTCGGTTTAAAATATTTCATGTCGAATTCATTCAAGCCCGCACCTGCGAGGTGCTTCATCATTATCATCATCATCTCGTGTTTTGCTGATTTCCTGTCGTAGTTGTTGAAAAGGAATTCATATAATTCGTTGGCTTCTTGAGGTTCATCTTGGTTCTCCATGATCATAAAGTTAGCGGACTGGCGCTGCTTTTGCGAATAAAGATGAAAACTGTCTCTCGGATTCAGCAGTTGCTCGGGCCTCGGAGCCGGAGCCGGCTCGGGTGCAGGAGCAGGTTCGGGCTCTGGCTCAGGTTCGGGAGGAGGAGCAGATGCTGGTTCCGGTGCAGGCCCGGGTGCAGGAGCAGCTTCGGGCTCTGGCACAGGTTCAAGAGCAGGAGCAGGTGCTGGCTCGACCATCGGCACGCCTAGGTCGGCAAGTGATTTTTTCAAACGATCTTGCAGATCATCGCGAGTTTCAGGTGTTGTGACTCCTAGTGCGTTAGCTGCGTGTAGCTCTCCGATAATGTAACCCAGTTTCGGATTAATTCCTGAAAAGAAACCACTGTGTGTAACAAAGGCAGCCGGTCGAAAGCCGACGGCGTATAAAGGGTTGGTGCCGTCCGGGTTAGGTTCGACCACGTGCCAGCTGTCCAACATTGTCAGCTTTTCCGGGTCAAGTCCGCCCGGGGTCTTTTTCTTCCACGTGACGTAAATCCCCCAATTGACGTCCTGCGCGGTGATAGCGGTCACGCGGCATTCTTTTACGACGCCGAGGAGCGTCGCGAGCAGCACGTCGCCTTCCGCCACGTCGCGCCACTTTAGCGTGCGTTCGTCCGCCGGCGGGCGCCTTCTATGCTTGAATTGCTTCGGCGTAATGGCGGGTTGCGTCGCCATAGTGTGTCGCTAACTCGGCTTAGCGAGAGCTAGAAACGCCTATGAACGCCTATGAACGCCTATAAACGCCTATAAACGCCTATAAACGCTTAGGACGGCTTAGATATATCTACTGAGATATATCTAGCAGCACTTAGGACACGACGCAAGCATGGGCGAGACATGTTCGTAGACGGCGGCAGCAGCGACGAAGACGGCGCGTCCGAGGGCAGCGAAGGCTCCGCTGCTGCGGCGGTCGACGATTGGTTCGATGGTTCGAGCGAAAGCGACGGCGATAGCAGCGCCAGTGAACGCGGGAGCGAGAGCGACAGGTCCGCGGGCGTGAACGACGACGACGAAGACAGCGCAAGCCAAAGTAGCTCATCTTCAGGGCAGCCCGCAGCCGCGCTGAAGGAAGAATCGATTGCCTGGGCAGTCGCGCTAGCCAGCGAACTTCCTGGGCAGCAGCACGGATCGGCGAAGCGCCGCTGCCTCGTTCCCCGGAACCTGTCTAAAGGGTTCTGGGACGTGATCGACGTGCTGGATGCAGGAGGCTCTGATGAGCTTAACAAACAACTTAAAGAGCTGTACGCACGCGGCAAAAAGCTGCAAGGCCAAGCGTGGGACAGCAACGATGCCGACGATCGGATGGCACATGA